GAGAAGTGCTAACATCTGTCTTTTAAGTTTGACAAACAACCTTTTCTCCTTGGTTTCACTTGAATGCAGGCTAGTTTCACATGGACTTCACTGTGGCTTTAGTGGAGTTAGAGGGGGCCACACTGTGATCTGGGTGGGCATGGAAAAGGCGAGTTAGTGTTCTCAGAGCCACCGAAAGCCTGGGACCCAGGGTCAAAGGCAGAGCAACAAATTCAATGGGAAGTCATGGCTCTTCTTGGGCTTTTGTCTTTATTTATCATTCACTTGTTTATTCAACACGCATTTTTTTGAGCATTTATTATATGCCAGTCATTGACTGGGTACAAGTAATTGTAAGGTGGGTAACATATAATACTAATTTTTCAGGAGTTTGCAATGAGAGAGCAAAAATAAACACGGAAGCAAACAATTACTGTCTAATATATAGTGATGAGCAATGGTCGAGATATTTAAAAAAATGTAGTCAGGGCAAATGTGCTTAACTGACTCAGAGAAATCTTTTCAAAAATATCTCTTGAAGACCACATAGAGGGTGGGTCTGATAGATTAGAAAGAGGTTATTGAGGAGGTCACTGGGACTAAACTTTCAAGGGTTATCTGTGTGCTGGAAGTTTATTAGGATTGACATAATTTACAGCAGAAGCAGCAGCAGCAGCAGCAGCAGCAGCAGCAGCAGCAGCAGCAGCAGCAGCAGGCATTACTGAATTCCCAACATGTGCGAGCTACTATTCTGGGCTACTGGGGATGCAAAGGCATACCAGAAATGGTTCTAGTCCTCAGGCGAATTGTAATCTGCAGAATATATTTTTAAAAAAATCAAATAGCAATATAATATGATGTATAGTTACTGCCACTTCAGAACCAGACAATAAAAATAATAGAAATCCAAAGAACAGAGAGTGATAAGTTAGAATGCTAGAATTAGGAACACTTACGAAACACGGGAGACACCATCTTCACCTCTTTTCACTCTCCAAAGGTGTTAATCCTGTTGAATCCCACTGCGTGTGCATGGATGATTGAAGATGAATTTATTTCATACCTGAGTAAAGGGCCCTTTCTGAAATGTTTCTTTAGAATAACAGAATTTAAATGGAAATATAGACTTCTGAATATTTTCTGTAGACAGGACAACTTGCATAATGACAGTGACGATGGCTACCAATGACCAGGATCGTGATTCTCAATGCTTATGAGGCATGGGCCTTTTGAGCTGTTAATCACTATTTTAGAACAGACAAAAGTAATACAAAAAAGCAAGTGACTGGTCTAAAGTAGTGAGTAAATCCCAGCACTAGAAATTACACTAGAACTTCAAATACTGTCCTAATATTTTTCCTTACTCTTTTAAGTTTCTTTGTCATTTTTCTCCGCAAAAGCTTTGAAGGTGCATGGCTTTTTTTATTGTTTCCTTTTTCTTTTTTTCTAAAATCAGCTTAATTGAGATGTAACTCAAATAATATACAATTCACCTACTTAAGTGTATAATCAATGCCTTTTAGATATTCACAGATTTGTGCATTTGTCACCATAATCAATTTTAGAACATTTTTATCACCTTGAAAGGGAACTTCATTCTCCTTAGCCATCACTCCCCAATCTCCCATATACTGTTCTCACCCGTCACCCCAGTTCCCAGCCCTAGGGAACCACTAATTTATTTTCTAACTCTGTGGATTTGCCTATTCTGGATACTGTATATAGACAGATGGTCTTTTTGACTAGCTGCTTTCACTTAACATGATCAAGGTTGATCCATGTTGTAGCATGGACTAGTACTTCATTTCTTTTTATTGTTGAATAGTCCATTGTATCAATATACTATATTTTATTTATCCATTTATCTGTTGATAGACATGTGGGTTATTTTTATTTTTTGGATATTATGAATAATGCTGCTATGAACATTTGTGTATAAGTGTTTTTGTGTGCATGTGTTTTATTTCTCCTTGGTATATATCTAAGAAGTGCAAGTGCTGGGTGATATGATAACATGACCTTATGTTTAAATATATGTTTAAACATTTGAGGAACTGCAAGACGTTTTCCAAAGTGGGTGCATCATTTACATTCCTATTAGTAGAGTATGAGGGTTCTAATTTGTCCATATCCTCACTAACATTTTTTTGATTCTAGCTATCTTAGTGGGTGTAAAGTGGTATCACATTGTCGTTTTAATTTGCATTTCCTTGATGAATAATGATGTCGATTATCTTTTTATGTATGTATTGGTCATTTGTGTATCTTCTCTGGAAAAATGTCTATTCAGATCTCTTGCCCTTTTTAGAAAACTAGGTTGTCTCTTTTTTATTGAGCTGTGATAGTATTTTATTTATATTCTTGGTACAGATTCCTTATCAGATACGTCATTTCCAAAAGTTTTATCCAATTCTGAGAGTTGTCTTTTTACTTACTACATGGTGTCCTTTGAAACTCAAAAGTTTTAATTTTGATGATGTCCAGTTTATATATTTTTCTTTTTCTTTTCTTTTTTGTTTCTTTTCTTTTCTTGCTTGCTTGTGGTCTCATTTTAAGAAACGATTAGCTATTCTAAGGTTATAATAATTTACTCTTTAGTTTTCTTCTAGAAGTTTTATATGCTTTTTAAGCTCCACATTTAGATTTTTGATCTATTTTGAGTTAACTTTTTATATGCTGTGAGACAGAGGCCCAAATTAACTTTTTTCCCATGTAGATAATTAGTTATTCTAGCACCATTTATTGAAAGACTATTTTTCTCATTTTATTATCCTGATGCTGTTGTCAAAAATCAATTATTATAAATTTGAGGACTTATTTTAAGATCACCAAACTATTGCATTGATCAATATGTCTGTCTGTCTTTATGCCAGTACCACATTGTTTTGATTACTGTGGCTTTGTAATAAGTTTTGAAATTAGGAAGTGTGAATCTTTCAACTTGGTTCCTCTTTTTCAAGACTGTTTTGACTATTTTGTGTCCCTTGACTTTTCATATGAATTATTTAATTAGCTTGTCAATTTCTGCAAAGAAGTAAACTGCGATTTTGATAGGGATTGTATTAAATCGGTAGATCAATTTGAGGAGTATTGCCATACTAATCGTAGTCTTAAGTTTTCCAATCCATGAACATGGGATGCCTTTCTATTCATTTAGTTTTCCTTTAATTTAATCAACAATATTTTATAGTATCAACAAATACAAAATATACATATTTTATATAAAATATAAAATCAACAATATTTTATACTTTCCGAGTATAAGTTTCATACCTATGTTGCTAAATTTAATTCTAAGTATTTTATTCTTGTTGATGCAATTATAAATGGAATTGTATTCTTAATTTTACTTTTGGTTTGTTCATTGTTATGATATAGAAATATAATTGATTTTTGATTTTTGTATATTTATCTTGTATCTTGCAACCTGTTGAACTCATTTGTTAGTTCTAATAGTTTATTCAAGTGGATTCCATAGGGATTTTTAGGTACCAGGTCATGTCATCTATACATAGAGATAGTTTTACTTCCTCTTTTTCAATCTGGATGCCTTTCATCTTATGTTCTTATATTCTTGCCTAATTGCCCTGCCTAAAATTTATCACTTCTTGAAAAATATCATGGACTACAGTGACAAACTTCATGCCCCTTTCAAGCTTTTTACTCCTAAATGCCATCACTGGGCTGAACTATCATTCTGGGATCTACTGCCAAACCCATAGGGGGCAAAAACTTAGGAAAATGGGAAAAAGGAAAAGTTAGAGTTAAAAGAAAAAGAAGTGAGAGGAGGAAGAGAAAGAGGACAGATTAGTCAGAGGAGGAGGAAGAGAAGGAAAAGTATAGAGAAAACAAAGAGGTGACTCTAGAGATGAAGGTGAGCTTCCTGAGGTCACTACTAGGAAGGCAGTAGTGACAGAAGTGAAGCTGCTAGTTTTTATGCATGGCCTCCCACCACCAGGAAAGGCAGGCAAAGGTGGTAATAATTTCCTTTATGTGAAATAGAGGAGTATCAGATTACTTATGCAGGATGTCAGCTTTAGAGAAAATGGCAAATGATGTAACGTAAGGTCTCATGTAGAAAATAGTGATGCTGCTCTTTGTCAGTGGGCCTGCAGTGCCATGGAGCCAGAACTGGGAGAGTGAAGCGCTGTTTGTGTTGCTGAGCTTCCTTGGCCACTGGTAAAGATCTGGGTGCAAATGAGGGATAAGAGTGAAAAGGTACCCAAGGGGAGTAAATTTTAATCTACATAGCCCTGCTCCAAATGTTATTCTTTGCTGAGGACCAAAGGTAGCCATGAGGATTATTGATTTGTGATTAAGTTGTTCAGTTTCTGGGTGAGAGTGCATATTTTAAATTGGATAAGCTGAGGGCAGTTGGATCTAGAAAAATATACTAATATTTTATCTGAAAGAAGAATGGTTCTTCAGAGGTTTTGGGGTTATAAGTAAATATCCTTGGGTTATGTGACTTTTTAAAGAAAATTAATCAGAAATGTGCATGTCAGAATGCAGGCAGCACAAGACTGAACTGCGCCACTTCTGGAATAACAAAGGGCAAGCAGGACCCTTAAGGAAATGGGCTGGCTTAGAATTATGAATCACCAAGCCCATTTCTTTTAGTGATTAATGATGAATCACTGTTTTAACTTTGGATGAAATAATAGGCTGCATCTGAGGAGCTCCATTAATCATCATGAGAATTAGGCTTGTGCCAATTCATTACTGCAGGGTAGACATGTGCTAAACAGTTGAGCTGAATTTCAGGAAGGGGTGAACTTTAGGCAAGGGCCTGCTTACAAGAATGCAAACATTAGGGGTCTATTCTTGCCTGGATGGGTGGGGATTTATGAGTAGAGAATAGATCCTATTATATCCTCCCTCATCTGGAAGCTTAACAAAATCTGAACTACAAAGTCTTTTGCCTTTTTGGTGTCAGGGTCATGATACAATAGATAACCAAGATATATCATAAAGTCTGATACTTTTATCTGTTTGTCACTTTGCATATTTCCTGTATTCAGAAAGCGATCAACAATCTACTGGACATTTGGATTTCAGCAGGCATGAAGTAAGTAAATTTAGCTCATTGTTCTTTGAAGAGCAAAGTTATCTTTACAAAATCCTACCAAAAATACTTTTCTAAAAACTTATTATTATAGATAATGAAAACCTGAACTACAGGCAGCAGAAGGAAGAAACCTGGTCCATCCAAACAGGAAGTTAGGCTGGATGCATCGTTTGGCCAACTTCAAAGCTCTTGAAATGAAAAGAGAGCTAAATAGTTGTTCCAACAGATTTAAATTGATGTGGTTCAAAGATACACAGAAAGCATGTATGTCTCTCTTGCAGTGGCCAGAGTGATGGGAAATCCAAGAGAATTTCACATAGTCCTTAATTCTAACAGATGTGATTTTGATAAAGTAGGAGAAAAACTCACCCAAGTTACAAAGGACACATATTGTTATGGCTTAATGTTTAATTAGTTCTAGTAATCTTTAAGAATCATAAACACACTCACAACATCATTTGGAAACTTGGCTTATCCTATATAACATACTCTTTTTCCAAAACAAAAGTATGTGGGGTTTTTGAAGGAAAATCAAGGATGGGATCAGAATTTTAAAATCTCTTTTACTTATTTATTTACTTTTTTAGAGATGGGGGTCTCACTATGTTGCCCAGGGTGGACTCCAACTGCTGGGCTCAGGTGATCCTCCTGCCTCGGCCTCCTGTGTAGGTAGGACTCAGACACATGACTCACACACCTGGCTTTCATCTCTTTTATTTTAAAAGACTAATTATAATAGAGATTTTTTAAAATTCCGGCTTTTTTTAAGTTGGTTTTCTTCGTTTTTTTTGGGAGGAAAAATTATTGAAGGGATTTTGCTTGGTTTCCCCCCCCCGGCTCCTTTTCCCCCCAACCCTTTTTTTGCTTTTGGTTTTTTTCCTTGGGGTTAATTGGTTTCTTACTTGTTTTTTTTGCCCCCATATTTTATATCTACCACAGAGAATTTCTTAAAACAGAAAATTTATCTATCCCAGCCTTACTTAAAATTCCAATGAGGGACCATTAATGGTTCCCGGCTCTCAGGGACTGGGCATCGTAGGCGCTGGAAATGGAGGGCGGGCCAAGGGCAGGCAGTGCGTGGCAGGCATGTCAGGGCCTTCAACTCATCAGGTGGCACCTGTGCTGGGAATAGGGCCTCATGAATGCTTGGAGATGTTGTGATTAAATAAATTAATTTTAAGGCATGTATCATTTTCTCTTTTTAATACGTATTTTCTTAGTCATAAGATATTAAAAGCACAACCATTTTCATGTAGGAGGTCCCTGAACATTTTTTTTTTCATACTTCAAAAAGGGATCTTCATACTCCAACAACTTAGGAATCAGCAGCTAAAGGATAAGGTACAAACCTGTTGTCACGGACTGTGATCCATCACAGCTCAGCTTGGCCCGTAGGCCTCACTGAACGCAACCTTTCCAGTTTCAGCTCTTCCTGCCACTTGCACTCACCCTGAGAATCTCTGTTTACTCCCAGGGATCTCATGTGAGTGGGTGGTCCTTCCCCTTCCTTTGCTGCACCATCTGGATTCCTGTATACTACAGTATTTCACACATCACGCAGTCGTTATCTGCCTGTCTGCCCCACTAGAGTGCGGGCAGATTCTGCCACGCCTTCCTCCTCCAATCCCTCCTTTACAAGTTCCCCAGAGGAGTTTCTTGGGTAAGGTTTGTTTCATAGAACTATATTTGAAAACATGAAGCCAGTGCCAGAATTGAGAAGTGGTAGGAGAAGGCCAGAATGGAACTCTCTAAAATACAAGCAAACGAGAAACAAAACAATACACAACAAACATCAACTCTTGGTCGGTGGCTGACTGTTGATCTTAAGAGCCAAATAGAAGGTTTCCAAAAAAGTTGAGGAGATGGAGCACAGGAAAGAAAGCTTGATATTTCCTGATTTTCCTGAGTTCTAAGTATATTCTAGTTATCAGTCCCTTATCGGATGCATAGGATGCAAAAATTTTCTCCCATTCTGTAGGTTGTCTGTTTACTTTCATGACTATGAGATAAAATATACCTCGACAATCAGATTGCAGATGTACAGAATAACATTTTTCTTTAACCTTTAAGTATTTGTTATAGCACGCTAAGCAGACTTAAGTGATAGCACCCTCACCCTTCGCTCCAACCCAGCTGCTAGTGTCGCGCTAACACGCTGCCGCTTTCCCCGGGGCTTGTGGAACAGCTGCCTTCCTCGGGAAATAATCCCCTCCACCAGTACCAATGGAGGCACTGTGGTCTGACTGCGGGCAGGACAAAATGTACTGCCCTTTGCCAAGGGACGCACTCGCTGCACACTGGAGCCGCCTGGCTGTGCTGCGAAGCCGCCGAGACAGCCTCTTTCCTGCTTTCCTCCCTTGCCTCCGTACTCTCCAATCTATTCATGGATCCCACTCAGCTTTTTTGGACCTTATATTGAATGTGATTCCCCCTTATGATTACATGCCTGGCATTCT